CGAGACCATCCCGGCCACATGGTGAAACCCCGTCTCTACCAAAACTATAAAAATTAGCTGGGTGTGGTGGCACATGCCTGTAATCCCAGCTACTCGGGAGGCTGAGGCAAGAGAATCGCTTGAACCAGGGAGTCAAGAGTTGCAGTAAGCCGAGATCGCGCCACTGGCAACAGAGCAAGACTCCACCTCAAAAAACAAAAAAAAAAAACTGGGGTTCAGAAAAGTTAACTGGTTCAGAATCAATTCACTGGTAGCTAGTGTCAGAACTGGGACTCCCTGATTACGAAGTCAAGTCTAAGTTTTGCCATTTACTTTTTTGGTAAACTTTGAAACATTACTTTATCTCCTGGTTTTTTCATTTCTTGGTCCATGAAACAATAACTTTGCAAGACTGCAGTGAAAGTAAATTACTTACTGCCCCCAGTGTGACCATCGTTATTGTCTGTAGACTGAAAAACATAGGTATATGAATAACAAGAGCTATATTTTTATCTACCACCAAGAAGCTTAAAATCTGGTTGGGGCCGGGCGCTCTGGCTCACGCCTGTAATCCCAGCATTTTGGGGAGGCTGAGGCAGGTGGATCACGAGGTCAAGAGTTCAAGACCAGCCTGACCAACATGGTGAAACCCCATCTCTACTAAACATACAAATATTAGCTGGGCGTGGTCACGCATGCTTGTAATCCCAGCTACTCAGGAGGCTGAGGCAGGAGAATTGCTTGAACCCAGGAGGTGGAGGTTGCAGGGAGCCGAGATCATGCCACTGCACTCCAGCCTGGGCGACAGAGCAAGATTCCACCTCAAAAAAAAAAAAAAAAAAATCACGTTGGGGGAAATGGTCTATTACCGTATTATCAATGCTGTATTTTCGAAGTTATTAATGTGCTTATGACATACGAAAAGCAGTATAATAATTTGATTTCAATTATTTAAGTAGCTATCGTTTTAAGCCACTTTCCCTAGCCTTCACAGCAATTCAATGGAACAAAAAGAATGTTTATTTTCAAAAATTAAAGAAAAAATGTGTTTAGGTGCTTTCTTCCTTTTGAGTTTTCATTAGTTTACTTAGTATAATTATTAAGATTGAATAGGTCTTTTGGTTGCCAGATTCACAAAGAACACTTAGGTGACTCAGAGAAACAAAAAAATATCAAGAATATAAACTGTGTAATTCAGCCTTGTCTTGAGAAACAATGTTGAACCATAGTAAAGGAGATCAGTGTTTTCTAAAGACAATAGATATATAGGATGTAAACCAAAGAATAAGCATTTCACAGTCTTACACAAACTTAGTGTTTAAAAGGTATTAACTACCTTAATTAGATGAGATTTAGCGGATTTTGTTACATTTTTTAGCTTATTTGCTTTTCATATAGGCAAAAGATTATGATAATCCAGTTTTTATGGTACTTTACAATGCCATTGGGGATATGTGAACAAATATCTTAACCAAATTTTCGTTTATGTGCCTTCCCTCCCCCCCAAGGGTGTAATCTCTTTCCATTTCTCTTTCTTTTTTTCTCTCAGGCTCTGCACGGAATTTTCCTCTCCTCTTCAACCTGATGGTGTAACACATGATCACGTGTTCGTTGTCTTGTTTTCCTCTGGGTCGCATGGGTACTTCTATTTCCTTTTCCTTTTTCATCTTTTCTCTCATTATGGTCTCTAACAAGATCCTCTCCAGGGTCCCTCTGATCTCTGTGCTAACAGGAAAGCACTGGAATGATGGAAAGGAAGACAAAGAAAGTCCCAAAAGCAGCTGGGAGTCCTTGGTTCTAACCATCTCTATGGAAACAATTCCACAGAGATAGGTCTGGAAACAATTCTGTAGGGATCACTGGAGCAGTGGTGAGCCAGTCTCACCAAGCCTTATTTACAGGATACAACTTGCAAATGGTAATAGTTGACAAGATTTTGTTGTTGTTGTTGTTGTTGTTTTAAGAGAAGTAGTAAAATAGGAAGCCAAATAAAATGTACATTTATGCCTATGTAGCGTTTTGTTTTTTGTTTTGAGACGGAGACTCGTTCTGTCACCCAGGCTGGAGTGCAGTGGCACGATCTCGGCTCACTGCAACCTCTGCCCCACCAGGTTCAAGCAATTCTTGTGCCTCAGTCTCCCAAGTAGCTGAGATTATAGGCATGTGCCACCATGCCCAGCTAATTTTTGTAGTTTTAGTAGAGACAGAGTTTCACTATGTTGGTCAGGTTGGTCTCAAACTCCTGACCTCACGTGATCCACCTGCCTCAGCCTCCCAAAGTGCTGGGATTACAGGCATGAGCCACCACACCCAGCCTATATAGTGTATTTTTTAACTCAAAACTTCCTACTGTAACAATAAAAAGGCAAAGGGAATGTGTAAACCAATTTCAAGTCCTTCCTGAGCATGCACATTGGCAAAGAGTGCCTAATCCAAAGAAATTATGGCAAGCAAGCAAGCAAGCAGCAGTTTGGTAGTGAAAAATCATTCATGTCATTAGAATGATTTTCAGATTGTGACCCATAACCACACAAAATATGCGGCAGGAATGCCAAATTCAGTCAGGCAGTAAAACAAATTGAATTCAAGCAAGGAGTGAAGGAGATTACAGAATTTTATCTACCAAATCAGTTTGAAAGACCGAAAGGATAAAAATAGCCACGTAACTTGAACCCAGGAGGACCAAGGGAAGAACTCCATCAGAATTGTGGGAGCTTAGAGTCTTATTAATACAGCAATTATTTTTTTAAAAGGAGGGAGAGGGGTTGGGACTCACAGTGTCAGTGATAATGGGACTATAAAGTTTCAGGCCTGTTCAAAAAGTCTCCAGCCAATAAGCTAGTAACCACAGGTCTCCTGAAATGGTAACTCCAGTGTTAATTAGGTGACATAACCTCAATTTTCCAAAAATGATGTCTGTTTCCTTAAGTTATAGATATTTGTAACCTCACGAAGGTTCACAGTGTTTTAAGACCCTGGCCCTTGGGTAAAACCATATGGGCTCCAATTCTAGCTCTACCACTCAACTGTGTGACCTTGGGCAACTATTTTCACTTCTCTAGGACTTAGGCACTTCATCTATAAAATGAAGATACTTATTTTTCAGGGTTGTAAGAGTACAGTGTGTAGGTTATGCTACACACTGTACTCAATTTGCTGACTCTTTACAACCCTGAAAAATAAATATGAGCCATTGTTATCACAGCATCCTTGTTTGGTTTTCCATCTCTTTTAATTGTGCTAACACTGTCCTTTCTGCCTTCCACTCAGTACTTTTAGGGAGTGTGCCATTGTGGGTATGTGAGCACCATGTTCTTACTGCCCCACACTCGTCTTAGGCAGGTTTGAGGATGAATTAAAGCCTTAAAATGTCTTACATCCTACACACTGCAGATCTCATGGGAGAAAAAATTATACATCCTCCTACGTTGCTAACACCTCTCACCCTACCTCCAACAGACTTCCCAATGTCTGTACCACAAAGTTCAAAGTCTTTTGGCCAAACATTGAAGACTATCTACAATCTAGCTTCACCCACATTTCTAACATTACGCCATCTTCCTGACGCTTTGCACTGGAACTTGCACTGATTTTTTTTGTGTGTGGGAGGGTGTGGGACAGAGTCTCGCTCGGTCACCAAGGCTGGAGTGCAGTGGTGCGATCTCGGCTCACTACAAGCTCCACCTCCTGGGTCCACTCCATTCTCCTGCCTCAGCCTCCTGAGTAGCTGAGACTACAGGGGCAAGCCACCTACACTCGGCTAATTTTTTTTTTTTTTTTTTCAGTAGAGACAGGATTTCACCGTGTTAGCCAGGATGAACTTGCACTGATCTCTTTCCCAGGCTTCCCCTTAACTCTTCGCGCAGAAATTCGGGTTTTGTTGTTGTTGTTATTTTTGAGACAAGGTCGCCCAGGCTGGAGCGCACTGGTGCAATCACGACTCACTGCAGCCTCAACCTCCAGGGCACAAACCATCCTCTTGCCCAGCCTCCCGAGTAGCTGGGACTACTCGGGAGTCCCATCTACTCCCGTGCGCTGCCATCACGCCCAGCTAATCTTTGTATTTTTTGTAGAGACAGCGCCTCACTATGTTGCCCAGGCTGGTCTCCAACCCTTAGGCTCAAGCGATCCTCCCGCCTCGGCCTCTCAAAGGTGTGAGCCACCGCGGCCGGCCTTTTTTGGAACTTAAAAAAAAGGCCATAATGTGTCATTAAGAACCTTAGTGGCATGACTGCAAAACCAAAATGTACTTAATTAGGTGTCACTTGGAAGCGCAATTTTCAACAACGCAAAACTATAGAAAACAACCCAACGTCGGCCTCCACAGGCTAATCAGTCCCCGAGGCACTGACGGCGGGAGATGAAAACGCGAAGGCCAGAGAAGAAAGAGAGGAAGGATTTGCAGAGAGAACGGAAACGTGGACAGGAATTCACCCAAGAAACCCGGGTCCCGCGCGGCGCACCGGGACGAAGCGCGCTGGGGGACGGCCAGCAGCTCCGGGCCAGAAGGAGGCGGACACCCAGCCCGAGAGCCGAAATCGGCCTCGGTGGACGTTTTCATCTTCGCGGCCCAGAAACACTTCTATTTTTCACTGCACAATGCAAACATGGTGGACCAGAAAATCCGCCCCGCGTCTGCCGGCCGAACCACGTGGCGCCCTTTCCGCGCCGTCGATGCCGAGCAAGGGCGGGGCCCTCACGGAATTTGTTCACGGTGGGGGCAGATCACTGGAGAACTTCTCCAGACCGCGACAGCACAGTTCCTTCTACACACTGGCAGAACTGTCATTGCCATCGCCCCGAGGCGGCAGAATGGTATGCCCTGAAAACTGGATGGTTCTACCGTAAGCAAGAAAGACTACACACACGACAGCTCTTTACCTGGACCAGCCTCTGCTCTGTCTACCTCGCCCCCAACAGCTGGGCAGCCCACCACCGCGCAGGCGCGCTTCGCGCTGCCAGCGCCAGGCGAACCTGACTTTCCCGTCTCGCGAGAGTGGGGCCGGCCGCCTTCGCAGTTCTCGCTCCGCCCCCCACTTCTTGCTCGCTCCCTCCCATCCCCCCAAGCCAGTTGCTGTGCTGCGCAGCTCCCTACGCGGTTGTCACCGCTGGAGACGGTTGGGAGAACCGTTGTGGTGAGCGCTACACGAGGCAAACGACTTCTCCCTTCTCTCGACTGGACCCCGCGAGCAGCAGAGTCGGCGTAACTATCGCCTGACAGGGTATCTGAAGTAAAAGGGGGTAGGTTGGGCTGGTGGTTTCGAGAGCGGAGTCGGGAGAAGGACGAAAGAGGCCGGGAGGGGCTGGGTTGGGGGGTAGTGCGGTGGTCGCCGCTCGGAGGCCGCCGCTTGGTAGCGGCGGGGCTGCGCCTCCCGGACCATCTCCCACTTCAAGGAGGGCGGCCTGCCGATGGGAGGACTTGCTCAGGTGGAACTCAGTGGACGACGCCGAGGCCCGAAGTAGGGGACATCCAGCATTTCCCCCTTTCCCTGCTGGCTTGGCCTCCGCCATTTTGGGTACAGTGGCGCGGCCACCTCGGCTTCCCGCCCTTCCCCGCTCTTTTTACTTTTTGTCCCCCAGCTTCCGAGAACTGATCTAGAAGGCCAGGGGAGGGGGTGGTCAAAGCTCCCTGGAAGGGATGAGGGTGGGTAGTGAAGCGAGCAGGGAAAGACCGGGCAGTTGGGTGGAGGGAGGATCGGGGTTGCCGGGCGCGCTCCCGATGGAAATGGCGCCGGATGGGCCTGGCCTCCCACCGCGGCCTCCCTTCCTCCGCAGTCTCGGCAGGGCTACCTGGGCTGACGGGACTGCGAGTGACTTCTGACGCAGATTCCCAAGATGAGAGAGGCTGGAGCTGGGGGAGGAAAGCCAATGGCGACGAAGGTGCTCAACTCTCAAATCCAGGACAAAGGAGGCAGACGGCCTCCTTTGTAATTCCGCCGCCCGGTGGCGAAGGGTTTTAAGCCAGGCTTGGCTGCTGGCGGGAGGGGGAAGGGGCGTACTCTCCCTAGCTCTCTGGTCTCTAGGGCAGCTAGATAAACGGAAAGTCTCCTGGGAGGAATAAAGGACGCTTAGCCGGCCCTTATATTCCAGATTTGGAACTTCGAAAAGAGTACGTACTGATTTTCCAAAGGGGTTTTTTTTTTTTTTTTTCCTTCATGTTTAAACGTTAATAAGGACTTCGGGGGTGATTTTGTAAGCAGAAAAGTGGGTGATTTATCAAATAGGAATGTGAAATGGGCATGTTTCAAGTAGGTCGTCTGGGCCCAGTGAACTGTGATTGTTGCTTTTTGAACTTTGGGGGTGGGGGTGGGTGATGTAGCAATTGTTTTGCGTAGTTTGGCATCTATATTAGACTTTGTTTTCAAGTTTCACTTTTGGGAAACAGTTAAAACAACCCAGTGATGGTAGATGTGTATGTATTGGAATTGAGTTCCTTTCGATATTAAATCTTCCAAGAGTTGTATTTTGTGCAGTTTTTTTTTTCTTGGCATTAAGGCTCTAGAAGTAAAATACTTCAAAATACGGTTATGGCTTATTTTCTTTTGGTGTCTAGGCCTTTTTTTAAAAAAAAAATGTAGGAGTATAGTACACTGTAATCGTATTTTAAACAAGGGAATAAGCCTATTAAACAGAAAAACAAATTGTAAACCCAGTCACGTGGTGGTGGTGTGATTCGGATGAGGGTCCTGAGAACTGGATCCGTAATTTTCATTGAAGACACAGTACAAAAGGGACGGGAAAGGCCTGAGAGTAAGAATTTCTGATAATTCATGTAAAACGTTTTAAGAATATTGTTACCTACTTTTCCAGCTCTAAAAACAAAAACTTACTATTGTTGAAGATGTTCAGTGATGCTTTGTCAAGATTGCCAAGGAAAAGTTTACGAAAATCTTACCTTGAAACAGTAGCTTTGAGTGGCCCTTTGAAAAGATAGTCCAGACTGTCCTATAAAGTTATATATGCTATAACAAATAGCTTTACTAATTGGATTGGACTACACACACACACCTTTTTTCTGTCCTCTTTTTCAGTTGTGCCATTATCTGGAAGTCCATCTTACTGCCTTTTTAAAATAATGTTATCTTTGATTTCGTTGTATTGGTAAACAACTGACTAAATTGCAGTAGATAAAAACATGGTTCATAGTAAACTAACATTTTAGAGACCTTACCTCCTTAAGCTGTTAGGGGCGTGTCTAGTGTTTTTGTTTTTTTAAAGAGCAAGCCCATTGGGAAGGAATGATGTACATTTTCTGTTAAACTTAGATCATCAGCACTTTTTCCAAAAAATAAAATTCATTCTCATTTCTTGACCACTGGGCTGCCATTTAGAAAGTTATTTATTGATGCATAAAGTCGTTTATGCATTACTTCAGAAGATAGGCTGTGCCTCCGTGTTAAGAGGATTCTCTATTTCATTTGTTCTCTAGTGGATGTTTTTTCTTTAATGACTTCGGTATATAATTCACATACCATAAACTTCACCAATTTTAAATGTACATTTTAGTGGATTTTAGTACATTGACAGCGTTGTGTGACCGTCACTACAATTTTGTAACATTTTTGTCACTCCAAAAAGATACCAATACCCTTTACTGGTCATTCCCCTTGCTGGCATTCTCCCTCCCATCAAGCCTCAGACAATCATGAATACAAATGGAGTTATACAATATGTAGTCTTTTGTGACTGGCTTGTTTCACTTGATGTAATGTTTAAAAAATTATATTTAAAGTCACATAAAACTGACCAAAGCCATCCTCATATTTTAACTGTGGTATATTTTATTGGTACTAGCACCTAGAATTCTTAAAGCAGAGTAGTGATTAGCCATGACATTGTTGCAAAGAAAGGTTGAGGTGGATTATCCTGAATAATTAGTAAAGTGTTTTAAGTAGTTTCTGACAGCTTTATTAGAGCAGATTGCTTCTTCCTGTGCCCTTAGAGTTTTTCTTGTTTTTGTTTTGTAGGTAGGATTTTTAGTTTTGAAGGGGTTGGTAGAGTGAGGCTCTCATTATTGTATGTGCTTTGCATACAGGGTCACCCTGTAAAATAGATTAAGTGTTCCGAATTTGGTTGGGTTTTACGCAATTAAAAGTTGTGTTAACAGTTTAGTGTTTATTATAGATAACATCGATAACACTTTTTTGTTTTCATTGGGTCTTATCATTGGTACAGACCGATCCAAAAATCCAATTGGCTTGCTGGTATTTTTTTCTTGTGAATTGGTAAGATTTATGAGTAAAGTAATTTTTTCTTTTTTTCTTTTTTTTTTTTAAGCATTTGCTCCTTAAATGCAAACTACTAAGATCCTTTCACAACAGATTAAGGTTGAATTTGCAGAGTTCTTAAATTTTTCATGAAGCAGTGAGGGTAGATCTGTACCACTTTTTCCGTTCTGTGTAAATCACCCTTTATGGGAAACACTTATTTTTTAGGTTGGTGCTATTTAAAAAAAATAAAACGGTAGGCGTTTTCAAAACATCTCTGAACTTTTTTTTTTCAAACTGGGTTGGGGCCTCCTCCTCTCAGAGCTACTCTTCAGTATTAAACTTTTAAAAGCCTTCGCTGGCTTTGGGAAATAAAATTTTTAACAATTCTCAGTTCTCTTCGAGGTTTGAATTGTTTTCGTTCCTTTAAGGTTCACATATTTTGTGTATGGTATATCTTGTTGGCTTTTGCAGGGCCCCTTAAAATCCAGTAACAGTTGCCATCAGTAAATGCTTAACATGAGGCAGACCAAGCACTTGAATAGTGCAGTGAGGTATAGATACCACTGCTATAGTTTACAATTGAAGAGGCTCAGAGGTTAAATGGTTTAGGTAACCAGTGAACGGCAGAATAGGGATTCATACTATTTATTTGTGTGCATATTTTAAATGCATGAATTCTAGGGAAAAAAAACTTTACCCTTTGCAGATGCCACCCCTAAGAGTTGCACCAACAAATAGATGACATGAAATTAAGCATTAGTGAATGCTGTTGATACGAAATATGATCTTCAAACATAAAGGAATCAAATGAACAAATTGTTTTGTTTACAGGGGAGGAGGTGGTGAGGGAAAGGTTTGAAATACTCAGGTGAGTAGGATTCCTACAGCTGCATAGTGAAATTTGTAAGGTTCTGGTAAGTTTCTGCAGCTGAAGGACTTCTGCATTCGCCTCTTTTGTAAATACTATGTAATTTTAAACGGAAGGATGGTTGCCTCTGGGGAAGGGAACTGGGAACTGAAGTCATTTTGGAGGGGAAGGGGGGCTTCTAGATATACCTTTTATGCTTTATTAAAAAGTATATTACGTATTTTTTAAAGTTTGTGTTTAAATCTATTTGATTAAAAAGTTGAGTAAACTGGTTTCTATACACTGTCCAGTGGCTTCAAAAACACAGGTACTGTTGGAAGGCATTCACTTTTGAGCAGCCTTTGACCTCAGTTTTAATCTAATTAATTCAGTCATTTTATAATCTTACTCTTGGTGAGTTTAAACTAGATTTGGCTAAAATAGAGGTGAGAGTGTTGGCCCTTCAAAGACAGTTTGATGTGTTCAAAATTGTAGTGCATTTAAAAGGGTTAGACTTATGTGATATTTTTCCAACATGAGTCAGTACTCATTGCATTTTTTACTTAGGCTCTTGATGTTAGTGGATACTGGTATTACATGCAACTTCTGAATAAGTTTTAAAGAATTTGAATAATCAGGTGAATAAAAACCTGAAAAGTGGTGAATCAAAAGTTGAGAGATAAGGAAAGGCTAGAGTTGGCATTCAGGGGACACAGTCAAATAGTTTGAAGACTCTGGTTGTAGAATTATGCAAGTTTTCTTAAAATTAGGCAATACATAATATTGATACTAAGAAATTCAGTACTTTTCCATAGGAGGGCTCAGGTCTCATTGCCTTTTCCCTACCCCAAAATATGAAAGGTGGTCTACAGTTTTGTCATGGCATTGTCACGGGAGTTGGCGCCATGTTACATTTCCTCTTGTGGCACCTCTGAGAGGTGTTTCTTCATTACCTCTTGACAAGAGTATGTTTTGATTGACTGCTCTATGTGCTTGTTTATTTTTTATAGCATTTAAATCAAACGGTATTGAGATGGATTGGGTTATGAAACATAATGGTCCAAATGACGCTAGTGATGGGACAGTACGACTTCGTGGACTACCATTTGGTTGCAGCAAAGAGGAAATAGTTCAGTTCTTTCAAGGTACCTCTAGTATTAGTCAAAGTTTAGTAATATAGTAATTTTATATTTGTATTGTTTCACTGTTTTTAATTTGTAAAACCCATTTTGATTTTGGAACTTTGAAGTTTAACTATGATAGTCTTGGTTAATGTATTAAAATAATATGCTCCAATTAATATTCAATACAGAATGTGTATAATATGTAAAACCTAATTAATGTGCAGTAACATATTTGAGAATTGTGATGAAATGAACCGTGAATTAGTATATGGAGCATATATTCGATTTGTAGCCTTTTTTCGTGTAATATAGGTGGGCTTTTAGAGTGTGTGTAATTACACAGTGTTTTTACACTGGTCGCAAAAAAGATTTATTTAATCCAGTATTATTTGAAAAAAATCTTTCATTTGTATTTATGGGGTGATGGGAAACTAAGCTTTTTTGTTTTGTTTTGTTTAGACTTGTTTTAAATATTTGATTCAGATGGGAATGTTTCAGCCTTTAACACTGTTCCCCTTGATGGGGTTATTTGTCCTTGGGTTAAAGGGTTGGAAATCGTGCCAAATGGGATAACATTGACGATGGACTACCAGGGGAGAAGCACAGGGGAGGCCTTCGTGCAGTTTGCTTCAAAGGAGATAGCAGAAAATGCTCTGGGGAAACACAAGGAAAGAATAGGGCACAGGTGGGGATGGAGAGTTTGGGATGGTGTTAAATTTTTATTTTTGGGGGTTGTGGGTCACTATTGCTTAAATGGGGGGGTAGCCATAACATTTTTCTGGGGTAGTTTAAAAGAATTGATAATTAATCTAAATTTAACTTGGAAACTACAGATTTGGGTGGGGAATTAATGCTAATAGTTAAATTAAAAGTAGATTGTTTCCATTTCTCTGTAGGATGTTGTTGATAAATGCTTTTGTATAATCACCTATTTCCTTTAAAACACCTATTTACTAAAAGAGACAAAGTAAAAATATATTTATACTTTATGAATTGTTTTCAGTGACTAATTTCTTTGTAAAACTTAAATATTTAACTAAGTTTGTAGGTTTAAACTGTTAACTTACGGTGTATTTAGGCAATTTAAATTGGGTTATGTATCTAGATGTAGAAAAACTTACTGCATTTTGCCCAGTATCTAATTTACACTAATACATTTATGCTGAAACCTGTACCTTAAAACATTTTTAAATAGGTATATTGAGATCTTCAGAAGTAGCAGGAGTGAAATCAAAGGATTTTATGATCCACCAAGAAGATTGCTGGGACAGCGACCGGGACCATATGATAGACCAATAGGAGGAAGAGGGGGTTATTATGGAGCTGGGCGTGGAAGTATGTATGACAGAATGCGACGAGGAGGTGATGGATATGATGGTGGTATGTGTATCTAATGAACAAAGGTTCTGTTGTCATTTTCTTAATGTTCCTGACACTTTGTCAAGAAATACAGAAATGGCAGTAATTTCAGTACCTGTTAGGTTTTAAAACCTGTTCATGAAAATATGGATTCCCATGGCTAGCTGTGGGACTTGATTGATGCACATATTGGCACCTAGAAAACTTACACAGAAATTAAAATTTAGATGTTGGCATATTTTGACCTTTTTTTGCTTAAGGATGAAATTTAATTTACATGTCTGAACTTAACCTTTTGAGAGTTTAAATTTCCATCAGATGTTGACTGCTTTTTTCATAGACTTTAAGTTGGAAATTGCAAACTTGCAATCAAGTTACACATACTGTTTACCACAAAATGTTTTTGTAAACTGGATTATAAAATTTATCTCTGGAAAGTGTGTAGTCATGTATTTCTCCTTAAATTACACAGGTTATGGAGGTTTTGATGACTATGGTGGCTATAATAATTACGGCTATGGGAATGATGGCTTTGATGACAGAATGAGAGATGGAAGAGGTAAAATAAATATTAAAGACATTTTTATTCATAGGTAAATTTTAGTATTTGCTTTGCAAGCTCTTAGTGGTAATATAGGAAACTTGTATAAGAAAGGTAATTCAGACAAATTTCAGTGCATTCCTATACAGAGCTTTATACCTTGTATAGAGTATGTATGTATACTTCCCTACCTAGATCTGTAAGAGTTTATAATCTTGGCAAATTGTGTTTTCTAGGTATGGGAGGACATGGCTATGGGGGAGCTGGTGATGCAAGTTCAGGTTTTCATGGTGGTCATTTCGTACATATGAGAGGGTTGCCTTTTCGTGCAACTGAAAATGACATTGCTAATGTGAGTAATTTTTAATAACTATTAGTGGTTTTATACTTATCCTGGTATCTACATTTTTAAGCATTCTTAATGGTCTTGTGTTTATAGCTTAATACCAAAATCCCTTGAATATAAAAATAGATCTACCTTTAATCACTGATGGATATTTTTGTATCCATTGCGTGTTAACCTACGTAGGATTCAAGCAAGTAAAAAGCTACATTCATGAAGTCCAGTTAAGAATATAATGAAAGACTGATCCTCATAGAATGGTGATGACTGTATACCATGTTGTGCTGGTGTCTTTTGTTGTACTGTTTTTTTTGTTTTGTTTTTTGTTTTCTTTTCTTTTCTTTTCTTTTTTGAGACGGAGTCTTGCTCTGTCGCCCAGGCTAGAGTGCAGTGGCGTGATCTCAGCTCACTGCAACCTCTGCCTCCCGGGTTCAAGTTATTCTCCTGCCTCAGCCTCCTGAGTAGCTGGGATTACAGGCACACTCCACCGTGCCTGGCTGATTTTTTTGTACTTTTAGTAGAGACGGGGTTTCGCCATGTTGATCAGGCTGTTCCTGACCTTGTGATCTGCCTGCCCCAGCCTCCCAAAGTGCTGGGATTACAGGCGTGAGCCACCACGCCTGGTCTGTATTAGATTTTGAAAGAGTGAATATATAAGTATTAATGATTTGGTTTGGCTTTCTAGGCTAGATAGTGATTAGAAACTGAGGAGTTGAAAATAACAAATAGATACTGCTGTTGTCATTGATGTGAAACTGGTTGGTTTCAGATTTGTTAGGAGGTCAGCAAACTTCAGTTGACGGGCTGAATCCGGTCACACCATTCCTTTACCTGTTGAGTAATTACATTAGAGACCCAATGGCCATTCAAGCCAAAAGTACTATCTGGCTTTAAATGCAATAGTTTGCTCTAGATCTTACTGGGAATCAATTGGCCTGAGTTCCAAGTGCTTTTAATGATAGTTTAAAACCTGGCTACCTTGTGATTAGAACCAAATGATACCTTTTGGGGAACAATTTCATATAGTTTTAAATAGTAGGTTTATTCAAACCCCATGTTTCCAAATCATGATATCCCCATTTCTCTCTCTCTCTGTGTATTTTTTTGAGACGGAGTGTCCCACTCTGTCTTCCCAAGGCTGGAATGCAGTGGCGTGATCTTGGCTTACTGCAGGCTCCTCCTCCCGGGTTCAAGCGATTCTCTGTCTCAGCCTTCTGAGTAGCTGGGATTACAGGCGTGAGCCACTGTATCCCGCCTATCTCCTTATTTTAAAAGCAGTAAATTCTTTACATTATCCCTAAGTGTATACTCTGTATATTCACAGAACCTTTGTAGTTGACTTAAGTTATTAGTCTGGCAGGGCAATTTCCTAATTGATGAGGAAAAATCAAAGTATGTGGTAATTTACTTTTAATATTCTCAATAGAAAAGTAAGTAACAGGTGTTTTCTTTTATTTAGTTCTTCTCACCACTAAATCCAATACGAGTTCATATTGATATTGGAGCTGATGGCAGAGCCACAGGAGAAGCAGATGTAGAGTTTGTGACACATGAAGATGCAGTAGCTGCCATGTCTAAAGATAAAAATAACATGCGTAAGTAGACGTGAATTTACAAAGTAAGAGGCTCTAAGATGTGTAGGCAACGCTTGGCAATTGTTGGGATCTAAAACCATTTGACCTCTATAATGGCTTTTTGTGGGCTTTATATGTCGCTGTACTAGTAATTGATAAGCATACTTTGTTTAATATTACTTAACTGATCTTTTTTAGAAAGCTTGTATTGATGAATTTGATCCATCATTCCTTTCTCCCCTGTTACTCTTTTTTTCTTAAAGAACATCGATATATTGAACTCTTCTTGAATTCTACTCCTGGAGGCGGCTCTGGCATGGGAGGTTCTGGAATGGGAGGCTACGGAAGAGATGGAATGGGTATGTAAAGTTTTTAAAATATGCAGGGTTAGCTACTTATCAATGAGTCTCAATTTTTTTTCTTTTTTCTTTTTTTTTTTAAAGATAATCAGGGAGGCTATGGATCAGTTGGAAGAATGGGAATGGGAAACAATTACAGTGGAGGATATGGTACTCCTGATGGCTTGGGTGGTTATGGTAAGTATCTCTAGTTCAGTTTGTGTTAGTCCCCATATGTAGTGCAAACTTTAAAATGCAGGTATTACTTTTATTACTTTATGCACAGATATCTCCTGCTGAGTGATTCTTAATATCTTTTTCTTAAGGCCGTGGTGGTGGAGGCAGTGGAGGTTACTACGGGCAAGGTGGCATGAGTGGAGGTGGATGGCGTGGGATGTACTGAAAGCAAAAACACCAACATACAAGTCTTGACAACAGCATCTGGTCTACTAGACTTTCTTACAGATTTAATTTCTTTTGTATTTTAAGAACTTTATAATGACTGAAGGAATGTGTTTTCAAAATATTATTTGGTAAAGCAACAGATTGTGATGGGAAAATCTGTTTTCTGTAGGTTTATTTGTTGCATACTTTGACTTAAAAAATAAATTTTTATATTCAAACCACTGATGTTGATACTTTTTATATACTAGTTACTCCTAAAGATGTGCTGCCTTCATAAGATTTGGGTTGATGTATTTTACTATTCGTTCTACAAGACGTAGTGTGGTGTAATTTTAGAAGATAATGGTTCACCTTCACATAAACTGCAAGTCTTAAGCAGACATCTGGAATAGAGCTTGACAAGTAGTGTAACTTTTTTCTTTAATTCCTCCTGGACAACACTGTAAATATAAAGCCTAAAGATGAAGTGGCTTCAGGAGTATAAATTCAGCTAATTATTTCTATATTATTATTTTTCAAATGTCATTTATCAGGCATAGCTCTGAAACGATCTAAGAGGTATTGATTTCTGAATATTCATAATTGTGTTACCTGGGTATGGGAGTGTTGGAAGTTTGTTCTAGCCCTAGATTTTGGAGTAAAATCCCTTCAGCACTTGACCGAAATACCAAAAATGTCTCCAAAAAATTGATAGTTGCAGGTTATTGCAAGATGTCTTAAGAGTAGGGTTAAGGTTCTCAGTGACACAAGAATTCAGTATAAGTACATAGGTATTTACTATGGAGTATAATTCTCACAAATGTATTTTAAGTTTTCTGCCCAATAGAGCATATGGTTTTTAAATAACTGTATAAATGATGACTTTTAAAAAATGTAAGCAACAAGTCCATGTCATAGTCAATTAAAACAATCCTGCAGTTGGGTTTTGTATCTGATACCTGCTTGGAGTTTTAGTTTAAAGAATCTATATGTAGCAAGGAAAAGGTGCTTTTTAATTTTAATCCCTTTGATCAATATGGCTTTTTTCCAAATTGGCTAATGGATCAAAATGAAACCTGTTGATGTGAAATCAGTTCTTGAACTTGTTACTTGTTTTTGCCAGAAATGTTATTAATAAATGTCAATGTGGGAGATAATAATAGTATGGCGTCTGTCCTAGAATGCTTTGTGTCAGTTACTAATTCAAAAATCAGATTGGTAGAAGGTACTACATATGACGTCTACGATTTAGGAGAGGGAGCCCCGGGGCAGCCTATATATGTGGAGCCTCTTGATGGAAGCTATGATTCATCTTAATGCTTGTACCCACTTCCTTTAATGAGCAATTTAAATAATAGGGCATACACCACTTGTCTTTTTTGAAAGTTACATGTGTTTTATTTTCCCGGGATTACCCTCTTAACATAAGCAGTAAAAGTATATACAGTATTAATGAAACCAAAGTTGCCCTTTTAAAGCAGGCTAATTTTCTAAATCTTTATTTAATTCATAAAATTCACATTTTATTTTTTAAACATAGGTTAGAAGAATTACAATTGTAATTCCTTGGCACCATGATAGCATTATTGTGGTAGTACTGCTAGGTGAGGGAATGGTATGTTAAGTCTGTTTTGAAAAGTAAAACGAATACGAGTTCACAATCACAAAATACAGATTGTTAAAAGTTCTGTAATAAAAAAATCCAAAGTTAGCATAGTTTTTAAATAAGCCAAAACTACATGGAGCAAGTTGCTGTCATAAAAGCTGCCTTAAAAAAAAAAAGTCAGTGGTGATACATGAGTTTTGAAAAGTGAGAAACTTAAAGGGTGACTAAAAATCTTGGTTTGGTGAATGAAATCAGCCTTGGAATTTAAGCAACTTAAGTCACATTTAAAAATTTGTTCTAAGCACAGTAATAAAAAAGCCTATTTGAAAATTTTCATTTATGCTTATTCAATAATCATAAAAATGTTAGCCCATCCCACCTATCAATATAAAATGGTTCAAGAATATAATTTCTATCTTGAGGACATTTCTATCAGTATTCAAGAAAGACCATCTAAAAATCTGTGTGACATCTGACACCTCAAAAGCTGACTGGAAATTTACGGGTTTTGGAGAAAATAGATCTTCAAGTATACTTAAGCTATTCAGAAAATTTTAAATTTCATAGAAGTATATATTCATGAGGAAAAGATCCTGCAGTATTAATAAGGAACTCCTTTGTGGGCAGGGAGGTACCTAGGATTAACCACTAAATACAATGCTCTTAATCCATAAATTTCCTATGTATTTTTTATAGACTCACAAACTTAAAGTGCAAAGTTAAAAATTAATGTAAAAAATAGGATACTGAATGGTGATAGTGTTTATGTGACTATTCAGAGGTAATTTATACAAGTTAAATTCTTGGTATGCCATAAGCAATATAACTTGGATTAGTGTTCATTGAGTCAGCTTGAAATACGTCAAGTGTACTGGCCAGGTGCGGTGGCTCATTCCTGTAATCCCGGTATTTTGGGAGGCCAAGGCAGGTGGATCACCTGAGGTCAGGAGTTCGAGACCAGCCTGGCCAACATGGTGAAACCCTTTTTCTACCAAAAATACAAAATTAGCTGGGTATGGTGGCACATGTCTAATCCCACCTACTTGGGAGGCTGAGGCAGGAGAACTGCTTGAATCCGGGAGGTGGAGATCGTGCCATCGCACTCCAACCTACACAACAAGAGTGAAACTCCATCTCGAAAAAAAAAAGAAATAGCTCAAGTACGTATATTTCATCATCTCAATGCCCTTGGCATAGAGGTGCTCAATGGACATGGTGAAATTTTACTGTGGATGTATACAGGTAGGCCACTACAATGTGATGCTTCCTAAAATTTACTCCAATGAAAATGTTAATACAAAATTTTTTGAACCGAACTCTAATACATTACCAAAGCAAAGTTCTGATTTTTTTTCTCACTTTTAATGCTTAGAGGAGAGGATCTTTATAAGGAGCCTGTAATATCTCCTATTATTACATACTTTTTTTTCTGAGGAGGGATTTGTGTTTTCATCTTTGAATTGGGGTCTGAGTCACCCCTTAAAAAATAGCAATTTAGTGAAACAGCATATGGGAAGATCTATAAATCAGGGAAAGAAAGATGGTTATATGTGGGAGGCTGAGGCGGGCGGATCACTTGAGGGCAAGAGTCAACATCAGCCTGGCCAACATGGTGAAACCCCATCTCTACTAAAAATAAAAAATAAAAAATCAGCCGGGCGTGGTGGTGTGTGCCTGTAATCCCAGCTACTCAGGAGGCTGAGGCAGAAGAATCACTTGAACCCAGGAGGTAGAGGTTGCAGTGAGCCAAGATCTCGCCACTTCACTCTATCCTGGGCAACAGAGACTCCGTCTAAAAAAAAAAAAAAAAAAAGAAAGATGGTTATATGTAACTTCCTTTCAAGATTAGAAGGAAAAAAGTTGAGGCCGAGGCCAAATAATGCCTCTTTTAATTTAATCCACTGTAGCTGAAAATCAGCAGCAAGCACAACAATAACTGATTTTTAAAAAGACCAAGAGGAAATTCTGTAGGACAAAATATTGGCCCTGTCTAATGCAAAAGAAGCAATGGGAGAGGGGGAGAAGAAAGGGCAAATAAATATAGTTGAAATCTTATAGAGATAATGAAAATCTGTTGAATTAGAATATTAATACTTCTAAAAAGTTTTATGCATTTCCAGTCTCAGAACTGTGAAGCTTTAAAGTGCATTAAGAGAACTGCAGGCACCACCAAATTGACAGAATTCAGAAGAAAAAAACAATCTGAAGCCTTATTTTTAAAAAGGCCTTTACAAGATAAGGCAAGTTGTGTTAACTCTGCTATCTGGCCTTTTAATGAGTTACATGATTTTTAAGCATGCTGTGTTGAAAATTCATTTTGAATAACAATGGGGAAGGAAATATCATATAACTTGTAATTTCCATGATCTGAATATGTAGAAGATAAACTGGTACCAAATACTGACCGAAAGCCGCTTAAGAAGAGCTGTCTGGTTACCTTTGTATACAACATCATAACATTCATTGTAGGTAATTTCATACATAAGGATTTAGTTCTGGAGTCTCAGGGCAAGTTAGATGAACATCTCTGAATCAGCAATGCATGACAGGAATCACAAACCCGTACTGGTTTTGGTGAAGAAGGCAAAGGTAGTTCGTTGTCAGAGCAGGCATTACAGAAAATTTCCCCACAGTTTCTACAGTGGTGCTATTAAATAAATCAGAGGGGAAAAAAAAAACTTTAATAAGCATTTTTGCACCCCAAATTTTGGGACTCACTTCCTACCTCCCTTACCTTTCTCTTAGAGAGTGAGAATTCCTTTTCACAAAGTTTACAATGTGTTGCTTCTTTGTCTTTCAGCCAAACCAGTCCCTAGTAGGAAGAAAATATTAATGCTCAAATTGGTAACGCTAAAAATTATATGTGAAAATTTTTCCCCCAACAACATTATTTATAGGATAGATATATGAAGAATGGAAAATAAGTTATTTTCTTTGAGAGATGTATATATTTGTAGATAAAATATGTATGGTATTAGCCTCAAAATATTCTGGGTGGGGGACGGGGATGTGGATTAAGTATAAAAACAAGATTGCAGCCAGGCGACAATGGCTCACACCAGTAATTCCAGCTACTCGGGAGGCTGAGGTGAGAGGATCGCTTGCGGTCTAGAGTTTGAGACCAAGCTGGGCGACATAGAGTCTGTCTCTTAAAAAATAAAAATAGAAAAAATGAAAAATCAGGACTGCACATGATAAATATTGAATATAGGCAATGGTTCATTTTATTCTTTCTATACAATTGTGTATGTTAGAATATACACATGTAAAAATGCTTTAAAGAGGTAAAAATCTGTTACTGATGGGAATTCTCTTCAGGAAAAGAAACTTAAAGATTAAAAGAACCTTAAAAATACTCCAACAGCATTTTATTTTTTAAATGTTTGTGGGTACATAGTTACATATTTATGGGGTACATGGGATGTTTTGATACAGGCATGCGATGTGAAATAAGCACATCATGGAGAATGGGGTATCCTAGTCCAACAATGTTTAAAGATAAATTCTCACTGTGTGAAATGCAATAGGTTGGCATTATGTATAACTTATACCTTAAGACCCTAAAATTTGAAGGAAATTAGGGAAATCAGATATTGGAGTTCATTATTTTGTAAGACCTCTTTAGGAGGCCTAGGCAGGAGGATTGCTTGAGGCCGGGAAGACTGCCCTGAGGAACACAGACTCCATCTTTACAAAAAAATTAACCAGGCTGCGTGGCATAAGCCTATAGTTGCAGCTACTCTGGAAGCTGAGAAGGGAGAATTGCTTAAGCCCAGGAGTTTGAGGCTGCAGTGAACTATGATTGTGCCACTGCACTCGAGCCTGAGCAACAGAGTGAGACCCTGTCTCCAGAAAAAAGGCGGGGGGAAAAAAAGGACCTCACCTTAAGAAGTTTTACATGGCTATTTCTCTCAACTTTTATAACATATTTAAGAGCTGCTATGTAAACGTTAGTAAAAAATGGATGTAAGTAGTCTTAGGCAGTATTTATAACAACTTGACCTTTTTTTTTTTTTTTTTAAAAGAGACAGAGTCTCACTCTGTTGCCCAGGCTGTAGTGCGGTGGTGCAATCTCGGCACACCGCAACCTCTGTCTCCCGAGTTCAGTGATTCTCCTGCCTCCGCCTCCCTGTAGCTGGGATTACAGGCACACGCCCCCATGCCCGGCTAATTTTTATATTTTTAGTAGAGATAGGGTTTCAAAATGTTGGCCAGGATAGTCTCAAACTCCTGATCTCAGGTGATCCGCCCACCTCGGCCTCCCAAAGTGCTGGGATTACAGGCATCAGCCACCACGCCCAGCCTACTTGACCTATTGTTAACCAGCTTGCTTAACCAATCTTGGCTAGAAAGACCTTTTTTCCCCTATGAAGGCAACTTTGTTAGATGATTATCAGCTTTACAATGAGAAGACCCAGATGAAGGAGGAGACTCAATACTGATTGATTTCCTAGAACATGTTCCTAAAACAGCCCAGACCAAAGAACCCAAGTGTAACAGAAGATTCCAACTTGGACATGGAGCAACTGCAACCTATAAATTACTACTGAAGCACAGGAACCTTTATTACCTATCACAGGAACCCTATTACCTTAGAGAGAAAAATTATCTAAGAAAGAAAGGCCCATAGACACATTTCTAAAAACATGAGTTTTCTTAAAAGACTTTTCCAAAAGCAGAATTCTTTGAAGAAAAAAAAGACTAAGCATTCACAGATCAAGATCACAAGGTTAATTTCAGGTCTTTTTGTTTCATTCACAGTCTTAATAACTAGCACTTATTGTACAGCAGAGATAATACAATGTTGGCTACTGCATGTGAGGAAGCCTAAGTCTCCTTAGAACACAGGATTATAAGGGCTTTTTTTTTTTTTTTTAACTAGATAGTTCATATCAGACAAACACCAGCAAAGAGTCAGATGGCTTGAATCATAGAATATATATATATTTTTTAATGCAGGATGGGGGCCAGGTGCAGTGGCTCACACCTGTAATCCCAGCACTTTGGAGACTTTGAAAGGCCAAGGTGAGAGGCTCTCTTTAGACCAGGAGTTCAAGACCAACCTGGGCAACATAGCAAGACCCCATCTCTAAAAAAAAAAAAAAAAAAAATTAGCCAAGTGTGGTGGCATGCACCTGTAGTCCCAGCTACTTGGGAGGCTGAGGTGGGAGGATTGCTTCAACCCAGATGTTCAAGGTTACAGTGAGCTATGATTATGCCACTGCACTCCAGCTTGGGAAACAGAGGAAACTCTGTCTCTGAGGGTAAAAAAAAAAAAAGGCAGCAGCAGGAAGGGACCCTAAAAGATAATCTAACTTGATGAAAACCATACAAAGGAAAGTGATTTGCCAAATGTCCCAAAGCCACCTAGTGGAAGCAGCTTGTAAGGGCGTTAGGTTCTGAAACAACCTTGCTGACTTTGAGACTAGGACTTTGGAGACTAGACCTTGAGACTAGGCCTTTGGAGACTTCTTTTCATTGAACTTACCTGCCGCCCTCCCAGGGAGAGAAGCTCACTTTAAGCTAAGCCTAGTGTGTCCCTGTGAAGGGATCTCAGACATGAGCACCTGTAGCCCTCTCATTTTACACATGAGAAAATTTAAAGCCTAGAGAACTGAAGCTGCCTGCTCAAGGAAACAGCCGTTTACCAGAAGAGCTAAGACTAGAACGGAACAACCTCTTGCTCTGCAAATAAACAGCAATTTTTCTCTGCCCAATTCCAGGATGTTAGCTGCTAGACTTACACCCCCTAGATAGGATACTATGGGATTCTTCTCTGGAGAAACTCACTGCTACAGAGAAAAGTACTGTAAATACTAAACATAAGCAGAGAGTACCCAATAGTTCACTAATCACAGCAGATTTCTCTATGGTGAGGCCTACTAGTCTACAACAACCCACCCAACCAACATACACACAAGGTTTCCAACAACCCTTATTTGTGCCTTTTATTGAAATTGGGGGATATCACAACATTTGAGAAAACTTCAGAGAATCAATAATGAGGCCGGGTACAGTGGCTTACACCTGTAATCCCACTACTTTGGGAGACTGAGGTGGGAGGATCACTTGAGCCCAGGAGTTTGAGACCAGCCTGGGCAACACAGTGAGACCCCCACCATCTCTAAAAAATAAAAATTAGTGGGGTATGGTGATGTATACCTGTGGTCCTAGCAACTCAGGAGGCTGAGGAGGGAGGATTGCTTGAATCCAGAAGTTCAAGCTTACAGTGAACTATGATGGATGGAGTCACTGCACTCCAGCCTGGGCAACAGAGACACTTTCTCTAAAAAAAAATTTTTTTAATTAAAGAAAAACATTTTTTAATGATAATATCAAACACAAAATATGACAGGATGCTATTTTTTAAAGGAAAAATTAGCAAATAATAGTCCATTGAATGTTAAAAATATGCCTGCAGAAAAAATAGCCCACAGAAGGTTACACCTGAATCTAACCAAGGCTTTATTTTATTTTATTATTTAGATGGAGTCTCGCTTTGTCGCCCAGGCTGGAATGCAGTAGTAGGATCTCGGCTCACTACAACCTCCGCCTCCCGGGTTCAAATGATCCTCTTACCTCAGCCTCCCAAGTAGGTGGGACTACAGGCGCACACCACCATGCCTGGCTAATTTTTTTTTTTTTTTTTTTGAGACGGAGTCTTTGCTTTGTCACCCAGGCTGGAGTGCAGTGGCACGATCTGGTCTCACTGCAAGCTCTGCCTCCCGGGTTTATGCCATTCTCCTGCCTCAGCCTCCCGAGTAGCTGGGACTACAGGCGCCCGCTACCACACTCGGCTAATTTTTTGTATTTTTAGTAGAGACGGGGTTTAACCATGTTAGCCAGGATGGTCTCGATCTCCTGACCTTGTGATCCACCCGTCTTGGCCTCCCAAAGTGCTGGGATTACAGGCGTGAGCCACCGCGCCCGGCTGCCTGGCTAATTTTTACATTTTTAGTAGAGATGGGGTTTCACCATGTTGGCCAGGTCGGTCTCGAACTCCTGACCTCAGGTCGATCCACCTGGCTCGGCCTCCCAAAGTGCTGGGATTACAGCCGTGAGCCACCGTGCTTGGCCTAATCAAGGTTTTAGATTTAACTTCCAGTTCACAGGCAACAAGTAGACAGAAACAAGTAAACACTACAAACATTCAGAGAAAATCCAGAATGTGAAAAACTGTTTAGGATGGCTGTTCCAGACTCTTCAGCTGGTCAATAGCATGGAAAAGAAAAAAATCAACTCACATATGAATCCAGTTTCCACATAAAAAAACTGGGAAAAGCAGATAATATTCTGTTAAAGATAGATGTGAGTAATAAGTATAAGGCAAAACAAAGTAATAACACAAAATACAGGAGAGATACTATAAAGAGGAGAGTGCAATTGAGAAGCAGATGGGGCTTCTAAGGTACTGGTCATGTTCTATTATCGCTAACCTAAGCAGAGAATACACAAGTTTTTGTTTTGTTTCATTTTGTTTTTTTAGAGATAGAGTTTTGTTCTTCTTGCCCAGGCTGGAGTGCAATGGCATGATCTCAGCTCACCACAACCTCTGTCTCCCGGGTTCAAGCAATTCTCCTGCCTCAGGCTCCTGAGTAGCTGGGGTTATAGGCATGTGCCACTATGCCTGGCTAATTTTGTATTTTTAGTAGAAACAGGTTTCTCCATGTTGGTCAGGCTGGTCTCGAACTACTGACCTCAGGTGATCTGCCCGTCTCGGCCTCCTAAAGTGCTGGGATTACAGGTGTGAGCCACCGTGCCTGACCCTACAAGTGTTTTTAAGTTGTACTATATATGCACTCTCATATGCATATTTCACAAAACTTTTTTTTAAGAGTTTACATAATGATGGTTTCGGCAAATATCCATGTATCCACACATCTTTTTTGTTTGTTTGTTTGTTTTTTGAGACGGAGTCTCACCCTGTTGCCCAGACTGGAGCGCAATGGCGCGATCTTGGCTCACTGTAACCTCCGTCTCCCGGGTTCAAGCAATTCTTCTGCCTCAGCCTCCCAAGTAGCTGGAATTACAGGCATGTCCCACCACGCCCAGCTAATTTTTCTTTTGTATCTTTAGTAGAGATGAGGTTTCACCATGTTGGCCAAGCTAGTCTCTAACTCCTGACCTTGTGGTCCACCTGCCTTGGCCTCCCAAAGTGCTGGGATTACAGGCATAAGCCACTGCGCCCAGCCTCCACCCATTTTTTTTTTTTTTTTGAGACGGAATCTTGCTCTGTCACCCAGGCTGAAATGCAGTGGCATGATCTCAGCTCACTGCAACCTCCCCCTCCCAGGTTCAAGTGATTCTCCTGCCTCAGCCTCCCAAGTAACTGGGACTACAGGTGCGTGCCACCACACTCAGCTAATTTTTGTATTTTTAATAGAGGCGGCATTTCACCATGTTGCCCAGGATAGTCTCAATCTCTTGACCTTGTGATCCACCCACCTTGGCCTCCCAAAGTGCTGGGATTACAGGTGTGAACCACTGCGTCCGGCCCCATCTTCTTAAAAAGTGTGAGGATACGGCCTGGCGAGGTGGCTCACACCTGTAATGCCAGCACTTTGGGAGGCTGAGACAGGCAGATCACCTGAGGTCAGGAGTTAGAGACCAGCTTTGCTAACATGGTGAAACCCTATCTCTACTAAATATATAAAAATTAGCTGGGCATGGTGGTGGGTGCCTGTAATCCCAGCTACTTGGGAGGCTGAGGCAGGAGAATCTCTTGAACCCAGGAGGGGGAGGTTGCAGTGAGCCGAGATCACGCCATTGTACTCCAGCCTTGGTGGCAGAGGAAGACTGTCTCCAAAAAAAAAAAAAAAAAAACACGTGAGGATAAAATAAAGGTATATTCAGATACACAAATTATTATTTTTTTCTTTTTTTAAATTTTGGTAGAGACAAGGGCTTGCTATACTACCCAGGCTGGTCTCAAACTCCTGGCCTCAAGCAATTCTCCCACTACAGGCTCTTAAAGCACTGGGGTTACAGGTATGAGCTACCATGCCCAGTCTCCAGATGTGTAAATTCTTACAATCTCTATCTTCATTCACCATTTTCAGGAAGCTACTGAAAGATGTGTTGCCCAAAATAAGGGAGTATACCAAGAGAGAAGTTATAGAATTCAGGCAAGAGGAGCTCCCACAAAGAGAGAAGGTAAAGGAAATTCTGAGAATACCAGCAAAGGGAAACATGAGCAGTAAAGTGGAGAACTCCTGAAGTTGGAGGCAAGGCATCAAAGAAAAAATAATGACCTAACCAATTACCTGATATATTTTACCACGTGGAAAACTTTATCAAGAAGCTTTTTTTAATAGAGGTGTTTCAAGGTATGAGAAAACTCAAATGTTATACAACTAATTTGTTTTTAAAAAGAGAGGGGCGGCTGGGTGCGGTGGCTCACGTCTGTAATCCCAGCACTTCGGGAGGCTGAGGTGGGCGGATCACGAAGTCAGGAGTTCTAGACAAGCCTAGTCAATATAGTGAAACCCCATCTCTACTAAAAATACAAAAATCAGGTGGCACATGCCTGTAATCTCAGCTACTCAGGAGGCTGAGGCAGAAGAATCACTTGAACCTGGGAGGTGGAGGCTGCAGTGAGTCAAGATCATGCCACTGTACTTCAGCCTGGGCAACAGAGGCAGACTCCATCTCAAAAAAAAAAAAAAAAAAAAAAAAGGGCAATTATTAACTCCACAGGAAGAATAAAGTAGTTCAAGTAAGAAAACATAATCACAGTACCTGGCTCAGCAAGGAACAACATTTAAATAGTCATAATAAAAAATTCAGAGTAGGGGCTAGACGCGGTGGCTCACACCTGTAATCCAGCACTCTGGGAGGCCGAGGCAGGTGAATCACCTGAGGTCAGGAGTTTGCGACCAGCCTCGCCAACATGGCGAAACTGTCTCTACTAAAAATACAAAAATTAGCCGGGTGTGGTAGGACGCACCTGTAGTCCCAGCTACTCGGGAGGCTGAAGCAGGAGAATCGCTTGAACCCGGGAGGCAGAGGTTGCAGTGAGCTGAGATCGTGCCACTGCACTCCAGCCTGGGTAACAGAGCGAGACCCCGTCTCAAAAAAAAAAAAAAAGAAAAAAAATAGCTGGCCTTGGTGGCAGGTGCCTGTAATTCCAACTACTGGGGAGGCTGAGGCAGGAGAATCACTGAACCCTGGAGGCAGAGGTTGCAGTGAGCTGAGATCATGCCATTGCACTCCAGCCTGGGTGAAGACGCAAGACTCCATCTCAAAAAAATATATACAGGTGTGGTGGATCATGCTTGTAATCCCAGCACTTCAGGAGGCCAAGACCGGAGGACTGCCTGAGGACAGGAGTTCAAGACCACTCTAGACAACACAGCAGATACTGTCTCTACAAAAAATGTAAAAATTAGCCAGGCGAGGTGGCACGCGCCTGTGATCCCAGCTACTCAGGAGGCTGAGGCAAGAGGACAGCTTAAGCCCAAGAGTGTGAGACTGCAGTGAACTATGATTGTGCCAGTGTACTCCAGCCTGGGCAACACAGCAAGACCCCATCTCAAACAAAATAATAAATAAAATAACATAAATAAAATATATATATAAAGTAAATGAATGCCACAAAAAACTTTACTTAATTATACTGGGAGACCGGAAAGACCAAAATGAAAGTGAGCAAAACTCTACATCCACCATATGAAGAAGTTAATATATAAGTCTAAAACTGCTGAATCAACAGCAAATAGTACATACTGAATATTAGTTAGAAATACAGGGATAAATGCCAGAAGAAACAGCTAAAAAACTGAAAGTAGCTCCCTTTGGGTGGCAGGAGCTAGGGCAGATAAAGGACAAGGGAGTGAAGAACAAGAGACTGCTACCATCATCATTATTATTATTATTTATATTATTTGGTGTTAAATCTTCTTAGTATTTTTTTTTTTAATGATTTTCATGTAACATTTTTTTGTCACCCAGGCTGGCGTGCAGTAGCGCGATCAAGGCTCCCTGTAGCCTCAACCTCCCAGGTTCAAGTAATCCTCCCACCTCAGCCTCCCAAGTAGCTGAGACTACAGACCTGCACCACCACACCTGGCTAATTTTTTCTTATTATTTAGTAGAAACAAGGTCTATGTTGCCCAGGCTAGTTTTGAACTCCTGGCCACAAGCAATCCTCCTGCCTCAGCCCCTCCAAGTGCTGGGATTACTGGTGTGAACCACCACACCCAGTATCATGTAACACTTCTTGATTTTAAAAAATGAAGCTGTTGGGTAGGAAGCCACCTGTCACTGAAGTGATCACACAGACACTGTCCCTTCTTCTATGTTGTAGCAAGGATTCAGACACATTCACAACCATACTGGTAAGCTGTACCAACCACTTTCACTCACATGTATTAACCTACTCAATATTCAGAGCAACCCTATGCAGAATCATCAGCCTATTTCAGAAGAGGAAGCTGAGGCTCAATGAGGATACATGACTTGCTGAAAGTAAAAGAACTAGTAAGTAATAGACTGGCGTAGGAACTCAAGATTCTCAAGTTCATAGGCAATTTCACTCTATCATGCCATACTTTGTAGGAAAGTAAAATTATTTCTAAGGTCAGTTTCTTTCTTTTTTTTTTTTTTTTTTTTTTTTTGAGATAGAGTCTTGTTCTGTTGCTCAGGCTGGAGTGCAATGGCGTGATCTCTGCTCATTGCAACCTCCACCATCTGGGCTCAAGCAATTCTCCTGCCTCAGCCTCCTGAGTAGCTGGGATTACAGGCGCCCACTACCACACCTGGCTAATTTTTGTATTTTTAGTAGAGATGGGGTTTCACCACGTTAGCCAGGCTGATATCAAACTCCTGACCTCAAATGATCCACCTGCCTTGGCCTCCCAAATTGCTGAGATTACAGGCGTGAGCCACTGCATCCGGCCTCTAAGGTCAGTTTCTAAAGGAATGTTATTAATAATGTGACTCTAGGGGTACAGGGAAGAGATGAACTCCCAGCATCCAAGCTCCTCATTCAGTGCTTTGGCCTCTATATATCCTGGGATTCATCAATAATACATTAGATTCACACAGGGCTTTACCTTCCATTGGAGACTTTCACATACCTTCCCAGTTTAGGAAAATGTTCTACTCACCTGCAATGCTTTGTTGGCTTCTTTTATGTCTTCAATTTTAAGTTTTGATCTAAAAAGATTACAAATAGGTCCAAATTTCAGTACACATATTTAAATATAGAACATTCAGTATTTCAGTAGGTATTGGTATTTCATAGGATACAAAATTATGTATAGTATATGATCTTTATGGTCTTCTCTGGCTAGTGGAATATTTCATATTCTCCTATATTTTCTAAATGTCCTAAAGCAAAAATATTTTAGGTTTAAAACTTGCTTTTTAAGAAATACTGGCATTTTCATGTGATCATGACAATATTAATAGCTATCATTTATTGTAGGTTTACTCTGTGCCTTTGCATGCATAATCTCATGTAATCTATACAAAAACCTATTTTAAAGATGAAGAAATGTCTGATGAAGTTTAGTCACTTGTAAGAGGTCACAGAGCTGGCAACTGGGGGAGCCAGGATTCAAACCCTTGTCTGTGACCCCAAAGGGCACATGCTAATCATTATGCACGCTATTTCTCTAGCAAATACAGAAGTGCTAAGGAAGAAAATACTGTGAGCCAGGTGTGGTGGCTCAGCACTTTGTGGGGCCAAGGCGGGTGAATCATCTGAGTTCAGGAGTTCAAGACCAGCCTGGTCAATATACAGTGAAACTCCATCTCTACTAAAAATACAAAAATTAGGCCGGGCGCGGTGGCTCACACTTGTAATCCTAGCACTTTGGGAGGCCGAGGCAGGTGGATCACCTGAGGTCTGGAGTTCGAGACCAGCCTGGAACAATATACAGTGAAACTCCATCTCTACTAAAAATACAAAAATTAGGCCGGGCGCGGTGGCTCACACTTGTAATCCTAGCACTTTGGGAGGCCGAGGCAGGTGGATCACCTGAGGTCGGGAGTTCAAGACCAGCCTGACCAACATGGAGAAACCCCGTCTCTACTAAAAATACAAAATTAGCCGGGGTGGTGGCACATGCCTGTAATCCCAGCTACTCGGGAGGCTGAGGCAGGAGAATCGCTTGAACCCAGGAGGCAGAGGTTGCGGTGAGCCGAGATCACGCCATTGCACTCCAGCTTGGGCAAAAAGAGTGAAACTCTGTCTCAAAAAAAAAAAAAACAAAACAAAAATTAGCTGGAAATAGTGGTATACACCTGTAGTCCCAGCTATTTGGGAAGGTGAGGCAGGAGAATCGCTTGAACCCAGGAGGCAGAGGTTTCAGTGAACCAAGATCACACCACTGCACTCCAGCCAGGGTGACAGAGCGAGACGCCATCTCTCAAAAAAAGCAACAAAAAAGAAAATACTGTGAAAGACATAGCTGCAAATACTTTTCCACTTTTTTGATGAAGTCTCGTTCTGTTACCCAGGCTGCAGTACAGTGGCATGATCTCAACTCACTGCAACCTCCACCTCGTAGGTTCAAGTGATTCTCCTGCCTCAGTTTCTTGAGTAGCTGGGATCAGAGGCACCCGCCACCACTCCCAGGCTAATTTTTATATTTTTAGTAGAGACAGGGCTTCACCATGTTGGCCAGGCTGGTCTTGAACTCCTGACTTCAAGTGATCCGCCCATCTTGGCCTCCCAAAGTGCTGGGACTACAGGTGTAAGCCACCAAGCCTGGCACTTTTCCACCTTTTGAAAATATGTATGTTGGGCCAGGTGCAGTCGCTCATGCCTGTAATCCCAGCACTTTGGGAGACGGAGGTGAGCAGACCGCCTGAGGTCAGGAAGGAGTTCAAGACCAGCCTGGCCAACATGGGTGAAACCCCATCTCTACTAAAAATACCAAAAAAATTAGCTGGGCGTGGTGAGGGGCGTCTGTAATCCCAGCTACTCAGGAGGCTGAGGCAGGGAGAATCACTTGGACCGGGTAAGCAGAGGTTGCATTGAGCCAAGATTGTGCCAATGAGCTCCAACCTGGGCAACAAAGTAAGACACCACCTCAAAAAACAAGAAAAAGAAAAAAGAAAATACATGTATTGGAATCAACTTACTACCAAGTGGTATAACTTTTTTTTTTTAAGACGGAGTTTTGCTCTTTTACTCAGGCTGGAGTGAAATAGCATGATCTCGACTCACTGCAACCTCTGCCCCCAAGATTCAAGCGATTCTCCTGCCTCAACCTCCCAACCAGCTGGGATTGTAGGCACCCGCCACCACACCCAGCTAATTTTTGTATTTTTAGTAGAGATGGGGTTTTGCCATGTTGGCCAAGCTGGTCTCAAACTCCTGACCTCAGGTGATCCACCCGCCTCGGCCTCCCAAAGTGCTAGGATTACACGTGAGCCACCGTGCCCAGCCCCAATTGGTATAATTTAATTTTGTTTCTTCTTTAAAAAAGAAAATACATATGTTAATGAAAATGCAAATTATAAAAAACAATATTTAATTACCTGTGATCCCATTACCCAGAGGTAATCTTCTCTATACATATCTGTGTATATATTTTAAATGGAATAATTATCTACATAGTTTTCCATAACCAGCTATTTTCACAATATATCCTGAACAGCTTGCAGCTACTGACTTGTTACTGAGTATCTGCCACATCATTATAGTAAATGGTTACTTGGTATATACAATGAAAAAGAATATAAAATAGTTTATATAATTATTATCTACTGTTAATCTTTCAACGTGTTTCAAATTTTTCACCACAAAAGTTGTTTATTAAAATTACAATGACTAGTTCAGGCATGGTGGCTCCTACCTGTAATCCCAGCACTTTGGGCTGCCGAGGTGGGCAGATCACTTGAGGTCAGGAGTTCCAGACCAGCCTGGCCAACATAGTGAAACCTCATCTCTACCAAAAATACAAAAATTAGCCAGGCATGGTGGTATGCACCTGTACTCCCAGCTACTCAGGTGGCTGAGGCAGGAAAATTGCTTGAACCTGGAAGGTGTAGGTTGCAATGAGCCAAGATCACACCACTGCCTTCCAGCTTGGGCAACAGAGCGAGACTCTTGTCTCCAAAAAAAAAAAAACCAAACAACAACAACAAAATTGGAATGACTAAAACATCAGTATTAATCCTTTTATAAATGAAATTCCTGAATCAAATGATACATCAGATACTAAAGCCTCTACTACTGAAGCAGAACATTAAAAATCTGCTTTGCCCTATAAAATGCTCTTCATTCCAAGACATAAAAATGAAGTGTGAGTCTTTCACCCATCTCATATTGACTCTTATGGTGGAAATAATCAATGTAAAACTACACACTGTAAAAATACTGACATAATAATCACATTTTCTTGGCTAAATTCACATCTAAAAAATGTGCCTCAGGAAAACTGACTCTGTTGGGAATAGTGGCCACAACAGTGATGATTTAATTGTGCTGTACAGAAAAATTGAATATGGAATTAAAATGGCTGGCTTAATGGTATTCACCACAGAAAATGTTTTCTTGGCTGGGCACAGTGGCTCATGCCTGTAATTCCAGCACTTTGGGAGGCCAAGGCAGGCGGATAACCTGAGGTCAGGAGTTCGAGATCAGCCTAGCCAACATGGTAAAACCTGTCTCTACTAAAAATACAAAAATTAGCCGGGAGTGATGGCACACACCTGTAATCCCAGCTACTCTGGAGGCTGAGGCAGGAGAAACACGTGAATCCAGGAGGCAGAGGTTGCAGTGAGCCAAGATCATGCCACTGCATGCCAGCCTGGATGACAGAGCGACACTTGGTCTCGTGCCCGGCCTGGGAAATACTTTTTTATGAAAATTTACTGGTATTGATAGATTTCTGATTTAAATGCCCTTATTGATAAATATGGACTCAAAAAAGCCTCTCTATGATACATATTGCCTAAGTGTCCTAAAGAAAGGAGCATCAGTTACAATTCCAATAACCATAATGTACAAGAATACCTTTCTCAGCCAGGCACGGTGGCTCACGCCTGTAATCCCAGCACTTTGGGAGGCCAAGGTGGGTAGATCACTTGAGGTCAGGAGTTCGAGACTAGCCTGATCAACATCGTGAAATCCCACCTCTACTAAAAATACAAAATCAGCCAGATGTGGTGGCACACATCTGTAATCCCAGCTACTTGGGAGGCTGAGGCAGGAAATTTTGTATATATACGTATATATTTATATATACGTATATATTTACATATATAGCTGGTACTACTACTATATATATTTATATATACGTGTGTATATATATATGTATAAATATATATAAATATATATTTACATATATACGTATATATAAATATATATTTACATATATATACGTATATATAAATATATATTTACATATATATACGTATATATAAATATATATAGTAGTAGTACCAGCTACTCAGGAGGCTGAGACAGGAGAATTGCTTGAACCCAGGAGGCGGAGGTTGCAGAGAGCCGAGATTGCGCCACTGCACTCCAGCCTAGGTGACAGAGCAACTCTGTCTCCAAAAAAAAAGATAGATTTGGAACGCTTTAAACATTGACTCTTCTTCTGAGTAATTACTATTCTTCTGTATAATTACAGTAGACTGTCTAATTTAATAATTAAGGAAATGAAAATAAGCCTGAAAGGAAATATATACATATATGTGTATATATACACACACATATACATAAATACATGTATATACGTATATATGTATATACATATATGTATATATGTACGCATGTGTATACATATATACATATATACATATTCTCCTGTCTCAGCCTCCGAAGTAGCTGGGACTACAGGTACATGCCACCATGCCCGTCTAATTTTTGTATTTTTAGTAGAGATGAGGTTTCGCCATGTTGGCCAGGCTGCCCTCGAACTCCTGACCTCAAGTGATCTGCCCACCTCAGCCTCCCAAAGTGCTGGGATTACGGGCATGAGCCACAGCACCTGGCCCAAATCTATCTTTTTATAAGAATTCTTCAGACCAGGTGTAGTGGCTCACACCTATAATCCCAATACTTTGTGAGGCTGAGGAGGCGGGAGGATCATTTGAGCCCAGGAGTTTGAGATCAGCCTGGGCAACAGAGTGAGACCCCACCTCCATATAAAATATGTAAATAAAAATGTAAAAAAGAATCCTTCAAGTTGCATGTAGTGGCTGACACCTGTAATATCAATGCTTTTGGAAGCCAAAGCGAGAGGACTGCTTGAGGCCAGAGTTTGAGACCAGCCTTAGGCAACATAGTGAGACTCTGTCTCTATTTAATTTTTTTAAAAAAATAATCTTTCAGGCCAGGCGTGGTGGCTCATGCCTGTAATCCCAGCAGTTTGGGAGGCCAAGACGGGAGGATCATGAAGTCAGGAGATCAAGACCATCCTGGCTAAAACGATGAAATCCCATCTCTACTACCAAAATACAAAAAAAATTAGCCGGGTGTGGTGGCAGGTGCCTGTGGAGGCTGAGGCAGGAGAATGGTGTGAACCCAGGAGGCGGAGCTTGCAGTGAGCCGAGACAGCACCACTGCACTCCAGCCTGGGCAACAGAGCAAGACTCCATCTCGGGAAAAAAAAAAAAAAAAACAATAACAATAATAATCTTTCAATAATAAGCTGATAAGAGTAAATATTTCAATTTTCAAACCCAGTAAGTAGAGGTTGCAGTGAGCCCAGATCACACTACTGCACTCCAGCCTGGGTGACAGAGTGAGACCCTGCCTCAAATAAATAAATAAAGGCAACATCTAGACATTTATATGATCATGCCTGTAATACAACTATAAAGTCTCTATTAAGTATGAAGTGAGGGGCCGGGCGTGGTGGCTCATGCCTGTAATCCCAGCACTTTGGGAGGCCAAGGTGGGCAGATCACCTGAGGTCAGGAGTTCAAGACTAGCCTGGCCAACATGGTAAAATGCTGTCTCTACTAAAAATTAGCCAGGTGTGGTGGCGGGCACCTGTAATCCCAGCTACTCAGGAGGCTGGGGCAGAAGAATCACTTGAACCCAGGAGGCAGAGGTTGCAGTGAGCTGAGATAGCACCACTGCATTCCAGCCTGGGTGACAAGAGCAAAACTCCCTCTCACACACACACAAAAAAGTATTAGTTGGGAAATGGGTGAAAAGTAACACATATTCCTAGGTTTACTATTCCATGGTTTTAATATTAAACCGTTATGATCTTAGTAAATGCAAAGATGCTTATTTTTTGAGGATTGCTCACTGTTGAGTGTCTAGCACTTAGTATAGTGCCTGGCACATAGTAGAAGCTCAGTGTCTGTCAATAAATAAATGGAAAATAAGGTAATAAGCACTTTGCACAGGGTCTGCCTCAAAGTGCTCAATAAATAGACGCTAGATTGGAATTGAAATCTTGCTTATCAGAACCACAATGCGAATTGTTCTCTGAAAAGCTGTAAAGACAAAAACAGCTTTATCTTTTTGAGATCTAATATTTCCTTTTGTGGTTCTAGTGAATTACTCCTTCTTATGTCCTTGGAAATTGGTTGCATTATCTTTTAATGGAATCCCACCTTTAGCAACTAAGTCTCCATTCTAGTATGATTTCTACTTAATTGAATATATACAAATGACATATATGTCCATATAACTAATTTTATCTAAATCAATGACAAGATGTTTACATATAGAATTGTTTGAGGTTAGCTAAACTTTGGGGATTAATACTCAGGAGAAGGGAAGTACTTGCTTTTTTATCTTAAACCTTTATGTGCTATTTGAATGTTCTAATCATATAAAACATCAAAGAGATTTGTATCGGTAATGAGATTATGAGACACTGTAGCTTTCTTATTTTTACTTTTCCGTATTTAAAAAAGTGGGCTGGGCGCAGTAGTTCACACCTGTAATCTCAGCACTCTGAGAGGTTGAGGCAGGATGATGTCTTGAGCCCAGGAGTTCAGCCTGAGCAACACAGCAAGATCCTAACTCTACAAAAAATTTTTAAAAAATTAGCCAGGCAAGGTGGTGTGCGTCTGTGGTCCCAGCTACTCCGGAGGCTTGAGATAAGAGAACAGCGTGAGCCTGAGAGATCAAGGATGCAGTGAGCTGTGACTGCGTCACTGCACTCCAGCCTGGGCAACTTGAAAGACTTGTTTCAAATCAAATAAAAATAAATTTAAAAAATTTAAAGTGACTATATTTTTTAAATGTGGCAGCGGTACATTCAATACTAAATTAAACCTCCTTGAGCTTATTCCAAATATCTGGTAGTATGTTCAATCAGGCACAAAGCTGCTAACCCAAAACACAGACCATGGGGAACAAAAGGAAAATGTGGCTGGGAACAGTGACTCACACCTGTGATCCCAGCATTTTGGGAGGCTGAGGTGGGAAGACTGCTTGAGGTCAGGAGTTTGAGACCAGCCTGGGCAACATGCAAGACCCCATCTCTATAAAAAATAAAAATTAGTAGGGCATGATGGTACATGCCTGTAGTCTCAGCTACTTGGTAAGCTGAAAGGTGAAAGGGTTGCTTGAGCCCAGGAGGTCAAGGCTGCAGTGAGTTATGATTATACCACTACACTCCAGCCTAGGCGAGACTCTGTCTTTGAAAAAAAAAGGAAATGTGAGCAAGGCAGAACACCATTTCTCCATCTTGTCTTTACAGGATCCCAATGACATTTTACTTCAACAAAGCCAAACTGTATGAAGTTAAGCCCTGTCTCCAGGAGGCATGAAACAACCTCCACTTCTCATGATGCTGGCTTCTTCTCAAAACAATCTGAGGCCGGGCCCGGTGGCTCAAGCCTGTAATCCCAGCACTTTGGGAGGCCGAGACGGGCGGATCACGAAGTCAGGAGATCAAGACCATCCTGGCTGACATGGTGAAACCCCGTCTCTACTAAAAAATACAAAAAAACTAGCCGGGCGAGGTGGCGGGCGCCTGTAGTCCCAGCTACTCGGGAGGCTGAGGCAGGAGAATGGCATGAACCCGGGAGGCGGAGTTTGCAGTGAGCCAAGATCACGCCACTGCACTCCAGCCTGGGCGGCAGAGCGAGACTCCGTCTCAAAAAAAAAAAAAAAAAAACAATCTGAAAGACAGCTCCCTGGATATTTTGAAACCTCAGCTTCTGTTTTTCTAAGAAAAATACATTAATAACTTCTGAATTCTCTGATATTGAAGAAATTGAACAAGAGTGTTAGTTTTCATCTATTGGGAAATATTCAAAGCTAAGTCTACTAAAATGAGTAAAACTTTAAATAAAATCTCTCTAGTCTAGTCTCATTTTTTAATCTTTATAGTTTTTGTTTTGTTTAATAGTTCATATCTTTCTCTTTTTTTTTTTTTTTTTTCTTTTGAGACAGAGTCTTGCTCTGTTGCCAGGCTGGAGTCAGCTCACTGCAACCTCCACCTCCTGGGTTCAAGCGATTCTTGTGCCTCAGCCTCCCAAGTAGCTGGGATTACAGGCCCACGCCACCACAAGCAGCTAATTTTTGTATTTTTAGTAAAGACAGGGTTTCACCATATTGGCGAGTCTGGTCTTGAACTCCTGACCTCATGATCCACCCGCCTTGGCCCAGAATTACATAGCGCTGGGATTACAGGCGTGAGCCACCGCGCCCTGCCTAGTTCATATCTTTCCTGTATCTAAACTTTTCTCCCTAATAGATCTGGCACACTTATATCTTTTATAAAAGTCAATAATGACTACTTAGTTGAAGGAAAAAAGAAATTACTCGCTAAGTTTGTTGCCGAGTTCTTGAAGAGCTTGCTCTTGTTCATGATATATTTTTTTCAACTGCTGATTTTCATCCTGGAGGTTAAGGAACTCCTTCAGAACAATAAAAGACAGAAAATGCAATTTAAAAGAAAGAAACAAGAAACTCCAGAATGTATATATACCATTAATCAGAAACAAACATCCTTTGGCTTTTTAAAAGAAACAAATTGTGTCCAAAGCTCTTTCCTAGCTGCTGTATGTATCAACTATTTTCCATTTACTTAATCTCTTCACTGATATTTTTTAAGATGACTAGTATATCCATTTCCTTGGTATAATGTAAATTATAATTTATCTTTTTAAATAAGTTAACATTTGTCAAGATAGAATTTTTAAAGTTTTACTACTATTTACTTTTTTAAGACTAATGATTTGTTGAGTCTCATTCCTAAGATGAGATAAGGCATCTTTCTCCTTTTGAAGATCTTCCTGCAAAGTCTGCCTCCATTCCTTCTCAATCTTCAAGTCAGTTTCCAGTTGCACCCTTGAATGACAAATAATACACAGAAGCTCAGTGCTATTTCTCACATGACAGTTGTTATGTATTCTTTACTAAAATCACCCTTTTGGTTTACTACTTTGGCCTTTGTAATGCATTTTTCAGACATTTTCTTTCACAAATATTTTTCGGTAAACAAGTTCAGCAGCACAGGGTTTTCCAACCACAAAATATTGACTCATTTGCCAGCCATGAAACAATCCTTGCTAAACCATTTACATCATTAATTAATTCCATAGACATAAATATTGCATAAGCATAGAAAATGCCTTGGAAAGGCAAACACCATAATATTAAAACTGGTTACATCTTGGGAATGGAACTAAGAGGAGGAACGTAAGATTCTAATTGTCTTACACTTCTATGCCATGTGAAAAATTTTACAAAAAAACTTTATTCCAATATAAGAATTATAGCAATTGCTAAATCAGTTTAACTTCAGTAATGGCAAAATCAGCCCTGTTGCAGAGTGCTAATTTGCAAATTACTGTTGGAAGCTGACCAATTACATGAAAGACCTAAAACCAAGCAGACATTGGGGGAAAGTCCACACTGCCTGGAAATGCCAATTCTGAAAGCATTCCTGCAGTCTTCTTCTTCTTCTTCTTCTTTTTTTTTTTTTTTTTTGGAGACAGGGTCTTGCTATGTTGCCAGGCTGGACTCAACTCCTGGGCTCAAGTGATCCTCCCACCTCAGCCTCTCAGCATCTGAGACTATAGGCCTGCCACCAAAACTCCTGAATTATTCTAAAGGTGCTAGCTGGCAAAGCAAACATAGTTGAATTTCCACATTTTAAGCTGACTAAAAAAAAAGAACACAAATCACTTCCATGATTATTTCTCATAAAGTTATAACAAGTGAGGCATTTATCTACTAACAATACTACAGTTACTAATACTTTATATTTTAATTGCAACATTATAATGTTGAGTACATTATTTTAATATTTTTGTGTTAATATTTAGATTAGTTTTTATTTCCTCATAGTTAGCATTTCCATATATAGCCATATATTTTCCAGTGGAATAAATTTTAGATTTTGTAATTCAGGTTGAAGAGAAGAGTACCTGAAAATGGAATTTACAAATTATTGATAAATACTATTTTACTACAAATTTAAAATTTGAACAGCATCTCTTCAACTGTTACTTCCTTATAACATTGACAAGAAAAAAAACTGATTCCCACTGGGGCCACTGTCTGTGTGAAGACTGCACATTCTCTCCATGTCTGTGTAAGTCTTCTCCAGGTACTCCAGTTTCCTCCCAGATCCCAAAGATGTGCACATTAGATGAACTGGCATTATCTACATTGTCCCAGCCTGAGTGTGGGTGTGTTTGGGTACATCCTGTGATGGAATAGTGTCCTGTGGAAGACTGGTTCCCACTGGGTGCCCAACTTGCCAGGACAGGCTCCGGCCACCAATGAGCCTGAACTGTAATAATTGGGCAAAGAATGAGCTTACTCGTTTTTATTCATCTTTCCTTAAATGTATGTATAACTCACGTTTACTTCAATATTTAATACTAGAAGACCAGAAGGTCTTTAGTTAGCAGTTTAGTGATTTTTTGTGAAAATAATTATGCAATAGAAACTTAACTCTTCTTCACATCAAGTAGCCTATGATAAAACTGGTTTCATTTAGCATCATTTCACTCAGTCAGAGTTTCCAAGAACCTGTCAATGACATTAAGTGAGAATTTACTGTGTATGTTACATAATGTGAGGACTTACTGTGTATGTTACAAACACTGAAGTAACCAAAGCACACAGTACCCTGTTGAATGGCCTCATCATCCAGAATCAAAAAATAAGTGAATGAAAAACAGGAAAGTGAATGAAAAAGGAAAATTTTGTTTTTAAGTTATATAAATATATTGTCAGAATACATGTTGAATACTGAAAGCAAAAACCATAAAAGGAAAAAAGGAAGATGTACCAGGCATGGTGGCTCATGCCTGTAATCCCAAAATTTTGGGAGGCCAAAGCGGGCAGATCTCTTGAGTCCAGAAGTTCAAGACCAGCCTGCCCAACATGGTGAAACCCCATCTCTACTAAAAATACAAAATTTAGCCGGGTGTGCTGGTGCCCGCCTGTAATTCTACTACTTGGGAGGCTGAGGCAGGAGAATCGCTTGGACCCAGGAGGCGGAGGTTGTAGTAAGCCAAGATCTCACCACTGCACTCCAGCCTGGGTGACAGAGCAAGATTCCATCTCAAAAAAAAAAGAAAAAGAAAAAGGAAGATGTAAGTACATAAAGAATTAAAATGTCTAAATAAAAACCACTATAATCAAAATTTTAAACTAAACAATAAACTTAGAAAACATTTTCAGGCTGGGCACAGTGGCTCATGCCTGTAACTCCAGCACTTTGGGAGGCCGAGGCAGGTGGATCACCTGAGGTCAGGAGTTCGAGAACAGCCTGGCCAACATGGTGAAACCCTGTCTGTACTAAAAATACAAAAATTAGCCAGGCGTGGTGGCACACACATTTAATCCCAGCTATTCAGGAGGCTGAAGCATGAGAATCACTTGAACCTTGGAGGCAGGGGTTGCAGTGAGCTAAAATCGCACCACTGCACTCCAGCCTAGGCAACAGAGTGAGACTCTAAAATATATATATTTATGGTTCATGCCTGTAATCCCAGCACTTTGGGAGGCCGAGGTGGGTGGATCACCTGGGGTCAGGAATTTGAGACCAGCCTGGCCAACATGGTGAAACCTGTCTCTACTAAAAACACAAAAACTATCTGGGCATGGTGGCGGGCGCCTGTAATCTCATCTACTCGGGAGGCTGAAGCATGAGAATTGCTTGCACCCAGGAGGTGGAGGTTGCAGTGAGCTGAGATCGCACCACTGTACTCCAGCCCGGGTGACCAAAGAAAAAAAAAAAAATTGGGTTATCACTACAGAATAAGTTGCATTACTGCAGAATATCAGATTATCTTACCCATGCTTTTGTCAAACACTAGAAAGGTAATTCAGTAACAGAGTACCAGAGTTTCAAGACTGTTCTACTGATGGGCCAAGTAGCCCAGTCGTGTTCTTCATGTGCTTCATTTGACAAGGCACAGAGACTTACACAACAAACCCAGGGCACCATTAATAAATCTGATGACTTAAATGCTCCTTGTAACTTAAAATTAAGAGGAATTTTTTTTTCTGAATGTTTTGGGGTTTTTGTTTTGTTCTGTTTTTAGAGACAAGAACTCACTCTGCCACCCAGCAGGCTGAAGTTTAGTGGCACAATCAGCTCACAGCAACCTTGAACTCCTGGGCTCAAGCAATCCTTTTGCCTCAGCCTGCCGAGCAGCTGGGGCTACAGGTGTGTGCCACAACACCCAGCTAATTTTTTCTTTCTTTCTTTCTTTTTGTAGAGACAGGGTCTCATTATGTTGCTTAGGCTGGTCTTAAACTCCTGGCGTCAAGCAATCCTCTCGCCTCAGCCTCCTAAAGCACTGGGATTACAACCATGTGCCACCACGGGAGTGGATTTCAGTTTCACAGTTTTCACAGTGTAGAAATAATATGGATTTTCTTTTTCTTTTTTTTTTTTTTGAGATGGAGTCGTGCTCTGTCACCTAGGCTGGAGTGCAGTGGCGCGACCTCGACACACTGCAACCTCTGCCTCCCGGGTTCAAGCGATTCTCCTGCCTCAGCCTTCTGAGTAGCTGGGATTACAGGCGCCCACCACCACGACTGGCTAATTTTTTTAAAATTTTTAGTAGAGACGGGGTTTTACCATGTTAGTCAGGCTGGTCTCGAACTCCTGACCTCGTGATCCACCTGCCTCAGCCTCTCAAAAGTTCTAGGATTACAGGCGTGAGCCACCAGGCTCGGCCTGTAGGTTTTTAACCACAGTAATATACCCTGGACTAAAGCCAGGGAATTCTACATATTAATTCCTCAAATTCCTCAAATTATTATATTTGTGGTAGATTTAAATGGAGTACAGAATTCTGGTTCTGGAAAAGATGAAGTAAGCACATTATTCCCTATCCCTCCAACTAAGTACAGTTAAAAACTCTGGACATTATATGTAAAACATACATAAGGAGACTCCAAGGCCAAGCACAGTGGCTCACACCTGTAATCCCAGCACTCTGGGAGGCCCAGATAGGCGGATCACCTGAGGTCGGGAGTTCAAGACCTGCCTGGCCAACATGGAGAAACCCCGTCTCTACTAAAAATACAAAATTAGCCGAGCATGGTGGCACATGCCTGTAATTCCAGCTACTTGGGAGGCTGAGGCAGGAGAATCACTTGAACCCGGGAGGTGGAGGTTGCAGTGAGCCAAGATCGCGCCATTGCATTCCAGCCTGGGCAACAAGAGTGAAACTCCACCTCAAAACAACAACAACAAAAGAAGACTTCAGAAAGTAAAGAGAAGATGTTTGATCAGCTAGGAACTCCAGGAATCAAAGAACAACATGGTGATGAGTTACCTCAGTTTTCTTTTTGTCTCACATATAGGTCAGATTAGGTGTTGATGAAGCCCTCAACCCATTAAATACTAATGGGCATAGACAAAAAAAAAAAAAGCCCCAAGAAGAGCTGTTCCCATGCCAAAGGGCCAGGAAATAGCCTAGCAAGACAGAAAACTTTGGACAATAAATGTCCTATTCCAGCAAAACACCTGAGAAAAAACCCATGCCCCCACAACAAACCTCAGTCAGCAAAAGCTGAGTGAGGAGCCTGGATTTCTACTCTTGCCTGGCAATGATGAGGTAACCTTCTTGCACCCTGCTGTGGTAGTATCAGAAAATGCCAAGTGGGAGCCTGAACCTTCCTAACCCCCAGCAGTAATAAGGCATCTGTTATGGTTTGAATGTTTGTCCTCTTCAAAACTCACATTGAAACTTAATGTCCAGTTTAACAACATAAGAGGTAAGGCCTTGCCGGCACAGTGGCTCACGCCTGTAATCCCAGCACCCTCGGAGGCCAAGGCAAGCGGATCACTTGAGGTCAGGAGTTTGAGACCAGCC